ATGCCAGTGTGGCTGGCCCTGTCTTCTCTCTTCTGAACATGGCTGCCACGAATAGCGTATATTTCCATATCACGTTGTGAGGCTCTAGCGAGACACAAATTGCCTCTAAGCCACTGGGCGGGGCTGCTTTCCCAAGGAAGGGATGGTTGGAAGAAGAGGCAGTACCCAGGCCGGCGGGTATTTTTAAGGGTCAGCTGCCGCTGTCCCCCTCGATCTGTCAGGCCTGAGACAAAGCAGGAAGAAACATCTCCAGTCTTTGGAGAGCCAGAAAAACGCTATGGGACACTGGGTTAAAGAGTAGAGTCATTGGCGCCTCTGAGCGGTGCATCCGCCGAGCTCCCCATTCTCCGCCCTGTCCTCACAGCCCCTGCCTGCTCCACGGCTCGGGGAAGCAAGCTCAACCTTGACGGGCAGTGACAGGCGGCCCCTCGGGACCACCCAGGACACCGCCTTCTCCTCCAGCTCAGCTTGTTGTCAGCAGTTGACGCTGGCGTCCGAGCTCCACCTGCCATTTATGGCAGGATGGCCCAGGGTGAGAAAGAATTGCTATTGTGTGTGCGAGTGTGTGTGTGTGTCTCAACTGGTTCTGAATTTGGGCAAAGAATCCCCTAAAGCAGCGGTCCCCAATCTTTGTGGCACCGGGGACCGGCGCTCCCATGAGAATCTCATGCCTGAGGATCTGAGGGGAGCTGAGGCGGTGATGCTGGCGCTGGGGGGTGGCTGCAAATACAGATGACGCTTCGCTCGCTTGCCACTCACCTCCTGCTGTGCGGCCCGGTTCCTAACAGGCCACGGACCAGAACCGGGGGTTAGGGAGCCCTGCCCTCGAGACTCACGGTCAGCGTCCGCACACACGATGCAGGGGTTCTTCCCCCCCAGTTCCAGAGTCACCCTCTTCAGGTTGCTTCTGGAGGCGGCTTCTTTAACCAGCTTTCCAACCTTCAGGATACCAAACAGACCAGGTTAAACCTTGGCCGTGGCCGGATGTGGCCCAAACTTTCTGAACGAGCCCAGGGGTCGGCGAGCTCTGAGCGGCCAGGGACCCCACGGCTCTGCTCAGGCGCCATGGGCCTCCATGCCGCCACCTTACTCCCACGAGACCCCGACATCGCCAGAACCCTGGGTCTCAGCCGCTCCACTTACAGGGTGGAGCGGGAGCCTTTTGAAGGCCTAGCGATTTGCCCGCAGCCGCCCAGCTGGCTAGTGGCGGAGCCGGCTGCCACCTTGGCATGGTCCTGCCCACCCCTCCCCGCAGAAGGCCGGTCCCGCTGGTCAGAGAAAGGGCCTTTCCAGCCCTCGTGAGCGGGCAAGACCGTTCTACAGGGCTCCGGGGAGACCCGGGGGAGCCTTCGAGAACTGGAAAGACAGGGAAGCTCGGCTTCGGGATGAAAAGTCACTTCTCCACGAACACTCGCTGAGACTGAGGCTTCCGCAGGGGCCGGGCTGGAAGTGCGGACGGTCACTCACCCAGCTGTGACACTCGACCTCCCACGTGCACCTGAGGTCCCTCCCACTGTCTCACGCACTGAACTGGCTTCTCTTGGGTGACGGATAAAGCCAGGCGCCATGCTCAGAGAGAGGTTCGCTCACGAAGGCCTGGACGGGGGGCCAGCAGGAGGCAGGGCTGGGCTCCCCCAGGCCGGAGGCTGCTCCCCCAGACTGAGCTGTGAGTATATTTTACAAATCAGCCAGCTCGTGGGTGATGGCCTGAACACGGTCTGGGGCAGGCTCACGGTGACAATGGCTGTCCCCAGGCAGACGAGACATGTCAAACCAGCCTGCCACAGGCTGGCAGTTCCTTGGTGGGGCTGCGGCTGGATGCAGCAGGGTGACCTAGGGAGGGACACAGAGGCCACTTTCTTGTTCGTGGGGTTGGCTGTCCGGTGAGGGCACCGCCTGGCTGGGGCCCTGAGCAGCCCCACTGTCGCCTGGAGAGGGTCAGGGCCTCTCTGTGGAGAAGCCAGGCGGGGCCGGAGCTGATTTCGCTCTTGCGGGAGGAGACTGGAAAAACTTGGGGACAGCTGGTACGCCGGAGCCACGCCTGGCGCCTCTCTGCCCCTCCGTCTCCCCGGCCGGGCTGGACATGGAGCTGCTACTCCATTCAGCGAGCTGATTGTCGCCGGCCGCCTCACTGCCAAGCAGGACCCCAGGGCGGACTGACCATGCTTCTGTACCAGTGCCCAGCGGGGCCAGCAAAGGAGGCGGTGGCAGCATTGTCCAGCAGGCCACAGGAGGGGCTTGGGCTCCTGGCCGGAATGGGCGAGGAGGAGACGGGCCCATTGTTTGCATGGGAAGCGTTCATCGATTTCTTTTTTAGTCACAGAGGAAGTACTTTCTCATTACAAATAATTCCAGGCACAGTTGGGTGTAAATTAAGGGGGACAAGCTACCAACCCCTGTCACCTGGGGCCTGCCCCAGACGTGGCCACGGTAAGCATGTCTCGGGTGCCCTTTCACATTTTCGCCCCCACACACTTCTACTAATGGATCATACGATATAAGTTTTCCTACAGTTTTTTTTTTGTTTTTTTTTGTTTTTTGTTTTTTTGCGTTTCAACCGTAGATCACAGATCGCTTTTCTTATTGTCAGGGCCATAAACCACGGTATAGAACGGACGTAACGGACTGGAGAGGATGTTCCTGAATGTGCGTGAGAAACTTCTTCTAAGGAGCGGCTTTGTAATGAAATTTCTGAATCAAAGATTTTACACTTTCGAATTCACGGTGGGCGCTACGCCCTCGGCCCGCAGAACAGGGGGTGCCTGTCCTCTCTCAGCCTCGTTGACACCAGACCTCCACGGTCACCAATCTGACAGACGAAAGAGGAAGGGTCTGATTTTCACGTCAGTCTGCATTTTCCCAATTAGCAGTGAACTAGGTCAAGTTCACTGGATGTTCAGTTTCTCTTCTCTGACTTATCCATTTTGCCTTTTTATTTTTTTATTTTTTGTGAAGCTCTCCTATCGATTTTTAGGAGAGCTTTCCCTATTACGGATATTAACCCTGGAAGAAATGATGACTGTTTTTCTCCAGCTTGCTATTTATCTTTTAACTTTGCTTGCTATGTGGTTTGTCACATGGATGTTTTACATTTTTATCGTATCTTAGCTACGAATTGTTTCTCCCAAGGCTTCTATTCTATATAGAGTTCTATTAGATATGTATTTAGTTGAGAAACTGGACCAGTGGCTTTTTAAAACTGATCGTTAAGGACTAACACACAGTCAAATTTAGGAGGGAAATTAGTTTAGCTTCTCAGGGGAAAATCAGGCCGCCCGGCCGCGTCCGCCGGCAGCCGGCGAGCGGGCGTTACCTCTATGGAGCCGGTGAAGGCTATCTTGTCAATCCGAGGGTGAGAAGAAATCGCTGCTCCCACCGTGGGCCCGAATCCCGGCACGATGTTCACCACGCCTGGCGGGAAGCCAACCTGGTGGGGGGCGAAGGGGCGTTCAGAGGAACGGAAGGGGCCGGTGTCCGCCACACGCCCGCCCCTGGGCTGAGAGAACCGCGTGTGGGTAAGTGATGTCCGCAAGGGGGTATCTGGGCGCAGGTGGCCCATCCGCAGGGGCGGGGCCGGCACCCAGCTGGCCCCGGGGTGCAGCCTGGGCCAGGGTGAGGCCTACGTCCCTCCATTCCGTCAGCACTTCAAGGAGGAGGTGTGTGTGTGTGTCTGTGTGTATCTGTATCTGTGTGTGTCTGTGTATGTCTGAATGTGTCTGTGTGTGTTGTGTGTGTGTCTACGTGTATATCTGTATCTGTGTCTATATGTCTACACGTGTGTCTATGTCTAGGTGTGTGTCTGTGTTCTGTCTGTGTCTCTCTCTGTATGTGTGTGTCCGTCTATGTGTGTGTCTCTCTGTGTGTATATTT